CGGCGCAGCGTGGAGCATGGACAAGCTGAACAAGCTGACCGTGCCGGCCGGGGAGAAGTTCAGGTAGGGTCCGGTTCGTTGTCGGTCTCCTCCGCGAGTGGGGAGCGGGTCCGCGCGTGGGCTGCTGCAGGCACGGAGCTCGGCGGGGTCCGGGCGCGGAGAGGTGACAGGGAGCCGCTCTCCGCGCTGGAGTTGGGGGGGATCGGGAAACTCTGAGGCACAAGAAAGTTGGAGGAAGTTTTGGAGTAAAACGAAGTTATTGCTGGTCGGCAGGGCGGCGCAGGGAAGTGCGGAAGGTAAATACAGGTCTGGAGCAATTAATCGGGACACAGATTTCAAAGCAAAATATGTGTCTGCAGTGAAAAGCAGTATACTTTTAAAGCGTCTGTTTTCAAAGCTGTAAGAATATAGTCTTTGACTTGCTACGATGTATGAGCCTTATGCAAATTAGAAAAAGTTAATTAATTGCTTACTGGTTTAATCAATGTCCTATAAAGATGGCTTTTTCAGTTAAGTTCTGCTTCCTAGTCTTCGAAAGAACTGGTGGAATAGAGGGAACTGGAAAACGGGGAATGTTCCTAAGTGAAGGAGAACAATGTTAAATACAGGGTTTGAGAAGGAAAAAGCAGAAGCTGACCGTTACTGAAGTATTTTTAGTGTGACTTGATTGGTGTGCTGGTGGAGTTGGCAACTCAAGGCTCTTTCATTGTGACTTTTTTTTTCTTCTGAATAGTTAAAAGAAGTCCTGTTTTGGATTAAAGTAGCATAGAAACTTTTTCTTCCCCTGAAACATAAGAATGAAATACTGAAAAATGTTTTCCTAAAATAACTCATACTCAAACACCTGATATTAATTTATAAACCATTCTTAAGGTTCCCTCTCCCCAGAAGCCTTCATGCAAATCAGAATAATCCCTTGTAAAGCTAATCTTGATGGAATGTCACTTCTTGATACCTACTTTTTCCTTACTGTTGAAATATCTGCACTGGGGGGGCAGGGGGATGTACCTGAAGAGCTGTAATGACCCTTACATTCCTCAGGCAGGCACACCTGAGAAAAGCCTAGCAGACTGCATCCTACAGCCCTGGCAAGAACTCTGTGTAAGACTCAGTGGACAGAGGGTAGAAGACAGTGAATTTCCTAATTGTCTGCAACTGATCAGCTTAAATAGTTTAAAATGGTCTACATGGTGTCAGGGCTCAATGTTGGTCTGAACTAGCTATATCAAGATAATAAGATGAGTGATATGATGGAAATCTTGATATCATCAGTACAGTTACTGGTACATAAAGAAATAAAACACACACTCTGCTATGATAAAATTGTAGCTGGGATGCGCCTTCTGCACATTTGCTAATGATTAAAGCAGGATTACCTTCAGGTATACAGAGGGGATCTACATGTATGGGTTATAATGGTCCACAACTTATTTGTGAACTGATTCAAAAGCCCTAAACCAGAAAGCCAGCCCTGTTGCATCTTTACACTGGCTGACACTCTTCAACTTGTCCAAAGTTTTAATATTGTTTTAACGTTAGGAAGAGGAGGACGTAGCTTTGTTTTCCTGTATTATCTAAGTATTAAAAGCTACTTTTCCTCTCATCCTTATGGCCAATTCATCCTAGTTGCGCAAGGAACACGGGAGCACACATTTCTCAAACGTGCAAATGTTCTCGTTGCACACAATGGAAGTGCATGCGTGCTTTGATTTGAGCATGTCAAAACACCTCCTTAGCCAGAAACATGGGTACTTGGCTACATGGCCTTACTACAATATCAGGATTTAAAAAACTTAGGGCAGAACTCTCCAGGAGTACATATTTGTAGAATAAATTTAGCAGAGATGTGCAAATATAGGAAGGGATCAGCATAACATGGCGGCAGCCATTTCGTCCTTCTTTGAAACAACCAAATACCCCCTTGTGCTACACGACCTGTTGACAGTGCAGTTGACTTCCTAATAGAGCCTCCTCTCTGCATGGATGACGCATAGATGGTTCAGTTTGTACTGAACGTTACACAAACGAAATGGTTACGTTGCAAACCTACCTTCCTCCATATGCCAAGATGCAATACCGAGAAATATTCCTACCAAACGCAGCTTCATTTGGTGTAATTATAGTTCACGTTTTTCTAAAGACAGCTTTCTTAAAATTTCTGCTTTGTAGCAGCAAAAATTAAAGTAGCGCTGCTGTTGAGTCAGTGTCTGAAAGTAGAGCTTTTGATTTTTTTAAGTGTAGACCTGAAAAACTACTTATTATGTGGTTTTGCTAAGCTCATCTATTCTCTGTGGGTATATTTGAGCCTACCAGACCTAGCTTTTTGTTGCATTAGCAAGTCTTATGTCAGACCTGAATTCTTAGCATATGCCATTTGTTTGTTTATTGCAACAATAAGAACTATGAGTGTTCTTATGTGCCTCTTTAACTACCATGTTGTGGTATGGACATTGTTTGCAGGTAACTCACTCAACTTTAATATCAGTTGGACAGGAATGCTGGAACTTGATGGAATTCCAGTATTATTTTTGTATAGTGTTTGCTATAAGGTATTATAGCACAGTATTATACAAGTATTCCCTCAGGGTGCCTTGTGTGTTCTAATTGCTTCCATATAGTCAGGAAAAAAATTACAAGGCTTGGTTATTTATCACGAGATAAATTAATTTTTGTGGTGCATACAAATAATTTGGTACTCTGAATGTTTTCTTTAAAGTGTGGAGTGAATATATGAGCAATAGCCATGCTGCCATAGCAGGCTCCACTGTGCCTTGATTTCAGCCTGAATGTCAGAAAAAATCTTATGCTGCGGACAAGTGTATAGATAAATAGATGCACTTACAATCAGGGGTGGTAGGCAGCAAAGGTAGCAGGAAGTTTTCAGGTTTGATGCTGTATGTTTTTTGAGTGGCTGACTCTTGTTGTTCAACTTCCCTTAGACTATGAGCCTCTGATTCCTGGACTTTAAATAATTTCTAGCTGTTATATATGACTCTGTTATAGCATCTCTTCAGACTTGCTGCTTTTTTTTAATGACCACAAACCTTAATAATGACCCTCTGCTCATAGCTGTCTTTAGCTGTGTATCACAAAGTCCTTTTCAAAGGCATCATTACCATCACCACTGCTGTGGTGGGCAAACCATGGAATGAATCAGAAGTGTACCACATGCTTTCACTTGCCTAAGTTCATGCAACCAAACAACTTCCAGATTGCAAACAGATTTTTCCAAGAGCACAGTTTCATGTTCATTTCAGATGACTTCATTAATTTGCAGCAGTTCTTCCCCCCCCCCCTCCCAAAACACTTAAAATCACTATCTCCAACCATAACTCCCAAATGAAAAGCAAGCAAAAAAAAAAAAGCAACTGACTTTTTTTCTCAGCTTGGACAAGTCTATCTACATGCAATATTTTGTTTTAACATCCCCTGCTAAACCAGGGGATTTAAGTCCTAATTCTGTTAAAATCAAGAGGAGTTTCCTTAAGGTCTGAATGTCTTAGTTGTCTATGAAATTTGAATGTATTTATGGTCTTTGCTAATTTTCTACTAATAGAGATGGCTTGACGGTAACTGCTAGGTCTTTTCTTTATCAGAGAGTTTTCTGGTAACATTTCCTCTTGAATGTGTATAAGCAGAAAATTAATTCATTTGAGAATGAAATGATATGTAACTGTAAACTGATACCTTCTATGTTTAGGATGTTGTATCGTAGGGAATATTTACTTTTTAAGAAAATGAATGGCGAATATCTGAACCTTAGTTTTGCACTGTAAGAAAATATTTTATTACAGTAGTGCTACTAACTCCCATTAGTAAGGAATTCTAGCAAACAGACTTAGAAACTTAATCTATTTTTTCAAGTCAAACTTTAACATAGTTTATCACATCAATGGACTTAAACAAGACAAAAGAACAGAAATAAACTCAAGCAGGAAAGAAACTATAGTTTCAAAGTAAGCAAGAGAACGCTCCTCATGACAGAACTGGGCACCAAAGTCCACATCCAACTTTAACATCTGTTCCTACTTTTAGTTATATAGACTTCGGAGGAAAGGCTATGCAAGTGCCCGGTTACTTCTACACTGCTCAGTGGTCTAGAGGCCCAAATCAGTTGTTCCATATATGAGATTTTTCCAGACCAACTCCTCCTGGTTGCTCATCACTATCTCTTCTTTACAAGTCATGGCTCCCTTGCTTCTCCTTTTCTACCTGCTTTGTTCTTCTCCTCTTTCTAGCAAAAGCCTCATCTGCCTCAGCCCTTAAGTACATGTGCTGGTTTTGGCTGGGATGGAGTTAATTTTCTTCCTGTGTTTTGGATTTGTGATGGAAACGGTGTTGATAATACAGGGATGTTTTAGTTACTGCTGAGCAGTGCTTACACAAAATCAAGGCCTTTTCTGCTTCTCACCCCATCAGCAAGCAGGCTGGGGGTGCACAAGAAGTTGAGAGGAGACACAGCTGGGACAGCTGACCCCAACTGACCAAGGGATGTTCCATACCATATGACGTCATGCCCAGCATATAAAGCTGGGGGAAGAAAGAAGGGAGGGGACATTTGGAGTGATGGCATTTGTCTTCCCAAGTAACCATTATGTGTGATGCAGCCCTGCTTCCCCGGAGATAGCTGAACCCCTGCCTGCCCATGGGGAGTGGTGAATGAATTCCCTGTTGTGATTTGCTTGTGTGCGTGGCTTTTGCTTTACTTATTAAACTGTCTTTACCTCAACCCGTGAGTTTTCTCACTTTTACCCTTACGATTCCCGCCCTGTCCTGCTGGGGGGAGTGAGCAAGCGGCTGCGTGGTGCATAGTTGCTGCCTGGGGTTAAACCACAACAGGACATAACGGCCATGAAGGTCTTCTGCAACACCATCCATTGCCACCTCCAGCATCCTTCTGTCTCAGCTTCCAGTGTCTCCTGACAACTTTCTACTGCACAGTAACACTTTGTCATGACAACAGCTTTTGTGGCACACCCACGTTTTAGCACAAGCAGCTGTAGGCGCATGTAAAGGCACATGAAATCAGCGCTGACTCTATGCAGCCTTTAAAGGTGAATTTC